CAAGAGGCTCGCACCATCCGCTACCCTTATCCCCTCATCAAGGTGAATGATACCATTCAGACTGATTTAGAGACTAACAAGATTGCTGATTTCATTAAGTTTGACACTGGTAACCTGTGTTTCGTGACTGGGGGTGCTAACCTGGGAAGAATTGGTGTATCACCAACAGAGAGAGGCACCCTGGATCTTTTGATGTGGTACATGTGAAAGATGCCAATGGCAACAGTTTTGCCACTCGACTTTCCAATATTTTTGTTATTGGCAAGGACAACAAACCACGGATTTCTCTTCCCTCAGGAAAGGGCATCCGCCTCACCATTGCTGAAGAGAGAGACAGAAGACTGGCAGCCAGAGCAGTGGGTGAAATGGTCCCTGGGTGATATGTTAGATCTTTATGCGTAATTTAAAATCATGTGGCATGTTTTAAAAAAAAAGTGTTGGTAAGGATGTCTAACAGTAAGATCTCTCATATATAGCTGATGGGAATGTACATTGATGTCACTGTTTAGAAAAAGTTGGGTTTTACTTTCTACAGTTAATTCTATGGATATCTTAGACCTAGCAATTCTACTCCAACTGAAATGCACTTTCACATGTATGTCGAGAGACATATATGATAATGTTCTTAGCAGTACTTTGCATAATAGCCGAAAAAACGAAAACAAGCAAAATGTAGAATAAGTACTATTCATCGACAGAAGAGTCAACAGTGGTGTTATCATCGATGGAATACTATATAGCAATAAATAAGAACAAACTATGGTTCCACTCAATAATCTCATAAATATAATGTACATTTTGAGCTAGATGACATGCTATATAATTCTATTTAGATAAAATTAAAAAAAGGAACATCGCAAACCATCATGTTTACTGATAAAATATATTAAAGCAAGCCAAAGAAGTGGTTCCTGTTGAAGTCAAGAAACTGGCCCACTTGCCACCTGTATCAGAACCATCTGCCCCAAATGTACTAAAGAATCCCTGCTGAGAGTCAAGCTAAAAAATCTGTACTTTTAAATTCATACCCCCAGGTTAGAAGAACGATGCAGGGTAGGCCACCAACCCCTGTCTCAGGAATTATTAGGGCTGATTTGTATGCTGATGATACATGTGTAGGAATATTTTAGGGCTCGTTAGGCTGACATCAATTCCACTCTACCCCTACCTCACAGAGTCACAGGTTCCTGAAGCTTGAGGTCCCTCCTCCCTCAATCAGAGGCCCTAAAATAATTATTACTATGTGTTGCACTCTAGAAACTGATGACTTTGTTCATTCTGTACAAAATAATCTGTTCTTGCCACCCAGTCTCTGCTTGCTTAGAGTCATATTTGGATTCAAGGAAACTAGGATACAGATGTGTTTCAAAGGATACACACTGCATCTGTGAGTCCCCAAGTTACTCCACTGATACTAAGTTTTTAGTTTTTTTCAGACACCAACATAATTACTGCAATCTTTCATATCTCATTCATAGCACTTATCTTATTTTGAAAACAACTCCCTAGAGAAACACTCATAAATTCCTTTGAAATAATTACGAACTTAATGTTTGAGCTTTTCATGCACAGAAGTTGAAAATATTACCCTTTTATGACAAATTAGAGAACAAACAAATCACTAAAGATGATAAAACCCAACTTTAGTTTATTTAATGGGATTGTGCGATTATCGTTAGGAGTATGGAGAGAGAGGAAGAGAAGAAAGAAATGTTAGATGAATGATTCATATTTCTCTCAGTAAATACCCAGTAATGGGATCACTGGGTAGAATGGTAGTTCTGTTTTTAGCTTTTTGACAAATTGTCATACTGCTTTCCACTATGGTTGAACTAATTTACCCTCCTAGCAACAGTGTACAAATGTGCTCTTTTCTCTGCAACCTTGCCAGTATCTGTTATTTGTGACTTTTCCAATAATAGCCATTCTGACTAGTGTAAGATGGTATCTCACTGTGGTTTTAATTTGCATTTCTCTAATGATCAGTGATAATGAGTTTTTTTTATATGCCTTTTGGCCACGTCTTCTTTTGAAAAATGTCTGTTCATGTCCCTTGCCTGCTTTTTCATGGGATTGTTTGTTTTTCTCTGGCAAATTTGTTTAAGTTCCTTATAGATGCCAGATATTAGACTTTTGTCAGATGCATAGTCTGCAAATATTTTATCCCGTTCTGTAGATTGTCTGTTTGCTCTGTTGATAGTTTCCTCCGCTGTGCAGAAGCTCTTAAGTCTAACTAGATCCCCTTTGTCAACTTTGACTTTTGTTGTGATTGGTTTTGTTGTCTTTGTCATGAAATCTTTGTGAAATAGAAATCATTCCGCTCTAAAGACACATGCATGCAAATGTTCAGTGCAGCACCATTCAAAATAACAAAGACACAGAATCAACCTAAATGCCCATCAATGACAGATTGAATAAAGAAAATGGGGTACATATGTATCATGAAATACTAAAAGAGAACAAGATCATGTCTTTTACAGGAACAATGATGGAGCTGGAGGCCATTATCCTTAGCAAACTAATGCAGGTACAGAAAACTAAATACTGCATGTTCTCATTTATACGTGAGAGCTAAACGATGAGAACACATGGGCCCAGAGAAGGGAACAACAGGCACTGGGGTCTGCTGGACAGTGGAGGGTGGAAGAAGAAAGAGAAGCAGAAAAAATTGCTATTGGGTATTAGGCTTAACACCTGGGTGATGAAGTAATCTGTACAACAAACCCCCATGACACAAGTTTTATCTATGTAACAAACCTTCACGTGTGCCCCCAAACCTAAAATAAATGCTAAAAAAAAAAGATGAATGGAAATCCCTGTAATCCATAGGCTTCATGTGACTTATAAATCCATACATTTGTAATTTGTTTCTTCTATTTGCTCCCCTTAGGATGCCATTGCCAAATAGTTCTGCCTGTAGTCTTCTCCGCTGGGCTGGTACCCAAGAGACTACGGATGTCAAAAGTAAGTGCAATATGATTCATTTCTGGGCCCAGCCCTTTTGCCAAAGTTGCTGTGTTTCTTGGAGATTCTTTTTTTCTCTTGCTTTACTGAGGTATGATTGACAAATAAAAATTGTAGGCCAGGTGCTGTGGCTCACGCCTGTAATCCCAGCACTTTTGGAGGCTGAGGTGGGCAGATCACTTGAGGTCAGGAGTCCGAGACTAGCCTGGCTAACATGGTGAAACCTTGTCTGTACTAAAAATACAAAAAAAAAAAAAAAACAATTAGCTGGGTGTGGTGGCGCATGCCTGTAATCTGAGCTACTCAGGAGGCTGAGGCATGAGAATCACTTGAACCTGGGAGGCGGAGGTTGCAGTGAGCCAAGATTGCGTCACTACACTCCAGCCTGGGCGACAGAGCAAGACTCTGTCTCAAAAAAACCAAAACAACAAACAAAAAAATTGTATATATTTAAGGTGTAAAATATGATATTTTGTTATATGTATATATTGGGAAATGACTATTACAATCAAGCGAATTAGCATATCAATCACCTCACATAGTTACTGAGTGTGTTTCGTGTGTTGAGAACAATTAAGATCTACTCTCTTGGCCCGGCACAGTGGTTCATGCTTGTAATCCCAGCACTTTGGGAGGCTGAGACAAGTGGATCTCTTAAGGTCAGGAGGTCAAGACAAGCCTTAACAACATGATGAAACCCCATCTCTACCAACAATACAAAAATTGGTCAGGTGTGGTGGCAGGTGCCTGTAATCCCAGCTACTCAGGAGGCTGAGGCAGGAAAATTGTTTGAACCCAGGAGGCAGAGGTTGTGGTGAGCCAAGATCATGCCACTGCAGTCCAGCCTGGGTGACAGAGCAGGACTCCATCTAAAAATAAAAGAAAAACACAAACAAATCTACTCTCTTGGAAACTTTTTTTTTTGAGACAGAGTCTCACTCTGTCACCCAGGCTGGAGTGCAGTGGTATGATCTTGGCTTACTGCAACATCTGCCACCCAGGTTCAGGTGATTCTTGTCCTTTACCCTCCCAGGTTCCTGAGATTACAGGCACCTGCCACCATGCCTGGCTATTTTTTGTATTTTTAGTAAAGACGGGACTTCACCATGTTGGCAAGGCTGGTCTCGAACTCCTGACCTCGAGATCTGCCCGACTCGGCCTCCCAGAGTGCTGGGATTACAGGCTTGAGCTACTGCACCCGGCTTTCATTGCAAATTTTAAGTATACATTTTAATTAACCATAGTCACTATACTGTACATAAGGTCTGCAGATTTATTCATCTTATAACTGAAAACTTGTACTCTTTTACCAACAAATACCCATTTATCTTACCTCACACCTCCTGGTAACGACTGTTCTACTATGCTTCTGTAATGTCAACTTTTTGGATTACACATATGAGTAAAATTAGGCAGTTTTTGTCTTTCTGTGGCTGAGTTATTTCACTTAGCATAATGTCCTCCAGGTACATCTATGTTGTCACATAGACCAATTTGTCCTTCTCTTTAAGGCTGAGTAATTTTCCATTGTGTGTATATTCCACATTTTCTTTATCCATTCATTACTGATGCTCACATAATTTGTTTCTATATCCTGACTCTTGTGAATAATGCTGCAGTGAACATGAGAATGCAGGTATCTCTTCAAGATCATGATTTTATTTCCTTTACATATGTATCAGTGAGATTGTTGGATCATACAGTAATTCTATTTTTAATTTTTTTGAGAAACCTCCCAATTAACATTCCCATCAACAGTGCATAAGGGCTTCCTTTTCACATATCTTTGCCAACACATATTTTTTGACTTTTTGTTAATAGCCATTCTAACAGCTATAAGTGATATGTGGTTGTGGTTTTGATTTGCATTTACCTGAAATTAGTGAGATTGAGAACGTTCTTACATACTTGGCCATTTGTTTGTGTTATTTGGAAAAATGTCTCTTCAAGTTATTTTCCCCTTTTTAAATCAGTTTCTTTTTCTGCTATTTATTTATCTAAGTTTGTAAACCAAAAGTATTTGAGACAGGTCTCAATCAGTTTAGAAAGTTTATTTTGCCAAGGTTAAGGATACGTCTGTGAACAACAGCCTCTGGATGTCCTGACAACATATGCCCAAGGTTAGGGTACAGCTTGGTTTTAGACATGTTAGGGAGACATGAGATATGGGTCAATATGTGTAAGAAGTATATTGGCTCAATTCAGAAAGGTGGGACAACTCAAAGCAGAGATTTCCAGGTCACAAGCAGATTTAAAGATTTTCTGATTAGCAAATGGTTGAAAGAGTTTTTATCTAAAGACCTGGAATCTATTGGAAGGGAATGTCTGGGTTTTGATAAAGGGATGTGGAGACCAAGACTTTATCATGTAAACGAAGCCTGTAGGTAAGCTTCAGAGAGAATAGATGGTGTTTCTTAACAGATTTTAAAAGTCTGTTCTATCAGTCTTACGGTCTCTGTGTTGATGTTTGTGAGACATGTTTGACCCCCACTTCCCATCATGGCCTGAACTAGTTTTTTGGAACAATTTGAAATGCCTTTGGGTGAGGGGAGGGTCCACCAGTCAGGTAGGGGGGCTTAGAATTCTATTTTTGGTTTACAAGTTCATTATATATTTTGAATATTAACTTCTTATCTGAGATATGGTTTGCAAATATTTCCCCTTATTCAGTTTTCTTTTCATTTTGTTGATTGTTTCCATTCCTGTGTAGAAAGTTTTTGTTTAATACAATTTCATCTGTTTATTTTTGCTTTAGTTCACTTTGCTATTGATGTTATATCCAAAATTCACTGCCAAGTCCAATGTCAGAAAGCTTTCTTCCTAAGTTTTCTAGGAGTTTTTGGTTTTCAGGTCTTATTCTAACACTTTAATCTATTTTGAGTTGATTTTTGCGTACACTGTAAGATAAGAGTACAATTTCTTTCTTTTATATGTCGATATTCATTTTTCTCAGCCCGTTATTGACAAAATTACTGTGGGAGCCATAGGCTCTTGGCCCCCTAAAGGTTTGCTAAAAATCACTGACATTAGGCAGATTGATTTATAGGAGAAAAGGCATAAAAATTTATTTAACATGCATCCACAGGAGCCTTCAGAATAAAAGCCCAACTTCACAATGAGTTACAGAAACGTGTATATTATCCTGAGGCCGCAGTGAAGAATGCAGACTATGAGCAAGTCTAGAAACAGGCAAATCAGGTTTAATGGCAAGGCAGGTTTAAAGAGAGAGAAATGAGGAGGCTTGACTAGCAAAGGTGGCCTTTTTATGTAGATGAAGCCTCCTTCAGAGAGAATAGATAGTAAACATTTCTTTTCAGATCTTTAAAGGTGTCAGTTCATCTGCCAGAGGTGGAGGAAAAGGTTTTAAATAAATAATTAAGGCGTCAGACTCTCAACCTCTCCTGGATCTGGGGGAAGGCATAGGAAGGGAAGTAGAGATGGCTTCGCTAATGGAGATTCTCTACAGATGCAAATTTTCTGCACTTAAAATAGCTTCACAAGGCCAATTCTGCCTGCTGGCCAAGAAGCAGCCATTTAAAAATATGTCAAAGAAATGTATTTTGGGATAAAGTATTTTAATTCCCTTCACTATTCTTTCCCTATTGTATAATCTTGGTGCTTTTGTTGAAGATGGGCTAACTGCATATGCATGGGTTTATTTCTGTGTTCTCTATTCTTTTTCATTGATCTATGTATCTGTTTTTATGCTAGTGCCATGCTCTTTTGATTGCTACAGTTTTCTAACATAATTTGAAATTAGGACAAATGTTTTCTCTTGCTGCTTTCAAAATTCTCTGTCTTTGAGTTTTGTAAGTTTTCTTACTGGTGGCAAATCCATACAGGTTTGCAGAAATCGCAATTCTTGCCTCCTCAGAAGAAAGAGTTTGACTGAGAGACATAAGCAGAAGGAGAGACTAAGGCAAGTTTCAGATCAGGAGTGAAAGTTTATGAAAAAGCTTTAGAGCAGGAATGAGAAGAGGTAACGTACACTTGGAAGAGGGTGAAGCAGGTGACTTGAGAGATCACCTTGGAAGAGGGTAAAGTGGGTGATTTGACAGATAAGTGCACGGTTTGACCTTTTGTCTTGGGGTTTCATACATTAGCATGCTTCCAAGGCCTTGCATCCCTTCTCCCCGTTTCTTCCTTTGGGAGGGGCTGTCTGCACATACAGTGGCCTGCTAGCACTTGAGAGGAGAGCATGCACAGTGTGTTTGCTGGAGTTGCATATTTGCTCATTTGAGGCATTCTTCCCTTACCAGTCAAATGTCCCTAGAAGGTCATATACTAGTTAAACGCCACAATTTTGCCTCTTAATGGGCAAGCTTGAGCCCATGCACCCAACTCCTGAGATCTTATCAGGATGCTGCTGATCACCAGTTTCAGGTGTTTCTATTTATTGGGAGACTAACTTTCCCTGGCGTTGGCTGTGACCAATTATTATTTTAGAGAGACAGTTAACCACCTGACCATAACCTGATGGTTGCCTGAAATTTCTGGTGTGTGTGTGTGGCAGGGTTAGAGGTTAGGCCCTCTCTTGCACAGCTCAAGCCTGACTAGCTACCTACTGTAACATTTCCCCACTCGAGAGTCCAATACCCAATTCTTTGAGGAAAATGGACGAAGGTCAATCTTCTGTAACTGATTCCTGCTAACAGAGAGGCGTTTTAGTGGTTGTTCTGCAGGTCTTGGCCTCTTGCTAGCTGTCAGGGCAGAGTTGGCTCCATGGGTTGGTGAAAGCAGTATTCAACCAGGTTTTTGCCTCTGTCATGTCCCATTGATAAGCAGTCTAGGCGTTCTCTGTAGAAGGGTGGCTCTTGAATATTGAGAGGACTGTATCTCTTAGTGACATCATCTGGAACTTGATGACCTGAAGACAAAAGGAGACAAATAGGGTTATTAGAATTCGAAGAATGCCAAACCAAAATAACGGGGTGATGATAACTCCAAACAATTCTGAGACTGCCAATATGCTTGGGTAGCTGATGGCTATAGGTATGCCTGCTAAGACTTGGGTCTTAGCATGGGGTTGTTAGCTAGTTTCAATATGTGCTCAGAATTAGAATGTTGATCCAGATTTTTACACTACCCATCCATCTTGTTTCTTCTGAGTTGCAGCCAGAGATCACTGGTTGTTGGTTCACAGGAATAAGAAGGGTCAGTCTAAATTGCAGACAAAAATTCAAAAACAACTGATGAGACTAGAATCTAATAATAGCTGTACCATAGTTTTTGAAACATAATTTTTTTCTCTCCAGTCGTCAGTTTTATTAAAGACAAATCATGATAGAATTGACTTGTTCACAAAATAAAGTCTTATTATACTTGGCCTGATTATTTGCATAAAGCACAGTGAGAATAATTATTTGCCATATAGCTTCCTTTTAAAATTGTCTTTAATGAAACTTTGTTCCTTAGGGAATTTCAGATGAGACCTTTTTAAAGCCTTAGTTTGGCACCATTAAATACCCGTATGACTTGGGTAAAATTTCTCTCCACTTGAGGTCCCAAGAGAACTTGGGGTTTCTAGGCCTATTAGAAAGCAACATTCTTTTCTTACCACAGACCAGGAACCCCATTCAGGAACTATGTAGCCAAGGTATGAGGGCAGTTTTCTGAAGGGGCTTTTATTGGCTTCATAATTTCATTTTGATTCCTTAAAGGAAAGCATGCCATTCTAGTCAAAGCCCTGGTAAAATAACCAGTTTGTCAAATTGTGTCCTGTAGAAAACAGATTCCTTTTTTTTCTTTTGAGATGGAATCTTGCTCTGTTGCCTAGGCTGGAGTGCAATGGCACAGTCTTGGCTCACTGCCACCTCTGCCTCCTGGATTCAAGCAATTCTCCTGCTTCAGCCTCCCAAATAGCTGGGATTACAGGCACCTGCTGCTACACCCAGCTAATTTTTTGTATTTTTAGTAGAGACAGAGTTTCACCATATTGGCCATGCTGGTCTTGAACTCCTGACCTTGTGATTCACCCACCTTGGCCTCCCAAAGTGCTGGGATTACAGGCATGAGCCACTGTGCCTGGCCCTTGAAAACAGATTCTTATTGCACTTATGCAAATAACTATATTGCCGTAAGTTAAAAATGCAAACAGTTTCCAAATTCTGGAGAAATTAGGTAGAGAGAAGAAAATGAGCTCTAAATTTTGTTTACAAGAGTATATTTTACTCAATTGTTAAAAGGTATAAATAGCTCAAAAGAAAAGTTTTCTTGGCTCTGAAAAACAAAGGATCAGCAATGTTTTAAGCAAAAAGTCATAAAAGGATTATTTCAACCTTCTATCAGTTCAATCCAGGCAGCTAACTCCTGTTCTGCTTGATATTCATGAACATTTCAGCTCTCTAATAGAGTCCTGAAAGGTTTTTTTCTTTATTCTAATGTCACAATCTCCAAAGTTATCTGAAACCTGCATTTAAGAGCACCTGTTAGGCCAAGTACAATGGCTCATGTCTGCAGTCCCAGAACTTTGGGAGGCCAAGGCAGGTGGATCACTTGAGGCCAGAAGCTTGAGACGAGCCTGGTCAAGATAGTGAAACCCTCTCTCTACTAAACATACCAAAATATAACCTCTTGTGGTGGCACATGCCTGTGGTCCCAGCTACTCAGGAGACTGAAGCAGGAGAATTGCTTAAACCTGGGGTGGCAAAATTGTGCCACCATGCTCCAGCCTGGGTGACAGAGCAAGACTCTGTCTCAAAAAAATTAAAAAAGAGGACCTGTTAGAGTCTCAGAGCTGATTATAAAACCATCTGTTAAAGACAATTAAAACAAGACAATGGTCTGTGGATGACAAAAAGTCTTAGGGCAGCCACAGTCAAAGACACAATTGACAAGGACATCAGACAGAAGTGCAGATAGGGCTTGACTCTTTCCAGCATAGCCGGGGGGCATGGCTAACTCTGTATATCCTCAGGCTTTACCTAGCTTTAAAGCAGACAAGGCTTACAGTTAAGTCATTGTAGCAGTTTATGAAGCATTTAGTAGGCATAATAACCTTTAAAATTGCATAACATTTCTTTTATAAATTCCCTTTCATGAATCTTTTTTATGACTCACACAGACTATCTACAACATGCTTTGACTTTCTAACTTGTCCTAAACATCACTCTTTTTAAGCAACCAGTTATTTTACTTTAGGAAAAGAATTTACTATCCAAGATACTTTTTCATATCAAATTTCTTTTCTTTATAACCTTCCTTGCCTTTAGAACCTTTGAATTTGACAAACCATTGAATTGTACTGCATGCTGCTTTGCACATTCTTTAAAGGGGGGCACATGAGGAGTTTATTTACATTCTGTACTGGAGAAGTTATCTCCCCTCAAGAGATTGCTCAGTTAGATTTTTGCGAGGGCTTGTCTGAATAAGTGTGGCCTATTTCTATACCACTGGGGTAGGATTTTCCAGGATGCAGTTACTGGTTAAAGATTTAGGTAGCTTTCCTTGGAGAAATAGAGCTATTAGAAAGATGAATTCAGGGGTCAGGTAAATATTAAGCAAGCACCCATGCTGGTGAGTATATTTTTCCCCTCAAGAGGTGTTGGGTATTTAGACATCACCAGGGACTGGTCCCCTAAGTAATATAAAGGGATGTGAATATTTTATTTTGGAGGGATGGGGTGCCATTTCTCCCAATTACCTGACAAGATTTGGAAGAGAGTTGCTCAGAGAAGATTAGCACAGAGTAGTCAGCACTTGAACCCAAAAAGGAAATTTATAATTTTACTTGCAACCTCCAAAGTTGCCCTCAGCTTTGTCCTGTTGATGACAGTGTCTGATTTGGAAACCAGCCAGAGCAGACAGCCCCTTTAGCTCAAGGCCATCAGGAGTTGAGATTCTGTCCCATGGGTGGTTTAGACCTCAGAGCAGTCTCACTTTCAATGGCCAACCTTCTGGCAGAAGGGGCAAGCCATTCACATGGCTTTTATCCTACAGGGGCAGTGCCTTACAGTGGCATGGCTTCCTGTACCAATGGTAATTACCTGGAGAAGTGTCCTTGGGGCAACCTGGAGGAGGCTGGTGGGCTTGCAGAGCAGCCAATAGTTGAGCTCACCTTCTTTCCCTTTGTTTCTCCTTTTTCTTAGCCCTGTCCTTCTTATTCTGCTCTCAGTTATGAAAGACTGAAGAGGCTAAATCGAGGACCTCCTACACAGGGGCACTGGGTTCCAAGGTTGACTTTTGCAATTTTCTTTTCATTCACTTTTAAGCCAAATAGTGTTACAAAGGAAAACTAGTCTCCTGTTTTAAGGTTTGGGGAAATCTTTCCGTTTTGGGGGATGCATCCAAGGGATATGTCATGTGGTATGGAGACGAGATTACCTGTCTGTGAAGATAGAGAAGAAAAAAGTAAAAACAAGGTGTCTCCTCTTATCTTTCTATTATCCTATATGGGGTCCTCTCAAATTTTTCTATTATCCCTATTCATCCTTAGGGTTCCAGAATGAACCGCTCTTACCATGTACCCTTTACCTTGGCTCTATCTCAGCATAATTATGCACTTGAGAATAGAGGAGATATTGGAGTAAACAGTGGGCCCCCTGTTTATCCTTGGGGTTCCAGAATGAACCTGGCTTACCATGTATCCCTAACCTGGCCTTTGTCTTTGTTCTAATGGTAATCTGTTAGTCTGGGACCAGCTTTATCTCTGTCCTATGGGTTTCTTGTGCCTGTGGTATTGGGCTGACCTATATCCTTGTCTCCATGACCTCATAGTGACTCTCACTTGGAGCATTTTAGCAACAAAATCATTGTCTTTTCTCAGATTCCCATTTTCCATGTTCTTTAAGTAGACAAGAGGCCTGCTTTTCAGCTAACTGCCCGAAGGGGGCTGGACTTCGCTTCCTTTAAATATGACCTTGAAGGTCTTGATGTATGTTAAGAAGGGCATGGAAGTGATTAGAGAAATGGAGGCTACAAGAAGTGGGAGGAAGTGAGAATACTCATGGGAATCCTTCATAGACTTGCAAAAACAGGAGCTCTTGAATTTTAGAGGAAACGTTTATTTGCCCTCTTGACATAAAGTAGTAACTTCCAGAGGACTTGGGGCTTGGAGTAAGAACTCACATATGGCAAAGGAAGAACTTTCCCTCCTTCTGGAGGGGTTCTAACTCAAAAAAAGCAAGTTTGTGGGGTCTTAAAGGGCCACAGAGTGAGGCCTTAATCAGGTGAACAAACTGCTTCAAAAGCCACTGAAAAACTTACCCTTGGAGCATAACAGGAACAAAAGCATATGGGAAGTCATAAGTTGTTGGCAAAGCCAGGGTTCCAGTTAGTGTCTATCTCCACAATGTGCCAAGAGACAGGGGAAGGGTTGGAAGTCATCTGAGTTGGTAGGGTAAAAACAAGTATAAATCTCAGGGGATACCTGCAAGGAAGCCCATGTCTTTGCTGCCGTGCAAATGCAGCAAGAGCTGCAGGAACATGAATTACAGGGAATGTGTGTTGAAGAAGTCATGTGGCATGCAAAGTGAAAACAAAGAGGTGGACTTGCCCCCAAGGCAGTCTGGTGGGTATGCAAGGCCATTTCAGAACATACATAGAGAAAACAGTAGAATAGGCAGTGTAGGTTTTTCTTTTTCTTTCTTTCTTTTTTTTTTTTTGAAAGAGATAATTTCAGTTGAAAAAGCAGAAATCCCAAACATTGCATGGGTTTAGGCTTCAGCTCTATCACTCTCGCTAGCTCCCTGTTTAGAAGGGCCATTAGTGCCTCAGTTCTACTTGATGTGGGCCCCAAGATTTTTCCCACCCCCACAAACCACCTGCCAGGGTGAGCTGAGAGATTAGCTAAGAGGAGCAGAGCTACTTGTGGCTGAGAGGAATCATTCTGGGGGTTGGTTAGTAATCAGGGGAGTAAAAGGAGAGAAGAATACCATGTATAGGGGTTGAATGTCTCCAGCTGAAGAAGGCAAGGTGTAGAAGTTTCTTACCACTAGGGAACATAGCTGAGTCACACAGCACTAAAGTATGCTAACAGTGGAATGTATTTGAGTCATGGGATCAAAGTATTATACCAGCAGCAAATCCATACAGGTCTGCAGCAATCTCAATTCTTGCCTCCTCAGAAGAAAGAATTCAGCTGAGGGGGATAAAGCAGAAGGAGATACAGAGGCAAGTTTTAGAGCAGTAATGAAAGTTTATTAAAAAGCTTTAGAGCAAGAATGAAAAGATGTAAAGTACACTTGGAAGAGGGCCAAGCCAGTGACTTGAGAGATCAGCTGTGGAGTTTGACATTTTGACTTGGGTTTTATATGTTGGCATGCTTCTGGGGTATTGCGTTCCTTCTTCCGTGATTCTTCCCTTGAGGTGGGCTGTCTGCATGTGCAATGGCCTACTGACACTTGGGAGGGGAGCATGCACAGTGTGTGTACTGGAGTTGTACATGTGCTCACTTGAGGCATCCTTTTCTTATCAGTCAAATGTCCTTAGAGGGCCATATCCCAGTTAAACTCTGCCATTTTGCCTCTCAATGTGCACACTTGAGCCCACTCACCCATCTCCTGAAATCTTATCAGGAAGTTGCCAATGATCAGTTTCAGGTGTTTTGGTTTATAAGGGGACTGTCTTTTCCTGGCATTGGTTGCAGCCAATTATTATTTTAGAAATACAGTTAGGCCTGTCTCTCTGATGGCTGCCTGACATTCCTGGTGTGTGTGTGTGTGTGTGTGTGTGTGTGTGTGTGTGTGTGTGTGTGTGTGTGTGGTGTGTCTGTGGTTGTGGTGGGGGTGGGAAGTGAGGAGCCCTCTCCTGCTCTGCTCATGTCTGACTAGCTACCTACTGTGACAGTTTGAATTTAATGTGTCATGGTTGAAGAAAGCAAAGATCACTTGGTGACCATCTAGAGGCAAAACTTCTCTATGGAATTTAAAAGTAATTAGATTTTCCTTTCATCTAAAGCTGGCGTCTGGTACCAGGCTTCTCTGCCCCAAATTTATCAATAACTTGAATATTTATACATCTCCGGAATGCATGTATGCCAAAACTCATTGTGTAACCCTTGCTGACATCAAGGCACCAAAATGTCTACAAATGTAATAATTTGTCATGACCTACATGTTTAATATGGTCTAAATTACCCTTAATGCTTCTACTTTAAGGTCCAGAAATACACTGCAGGAAAAATCCACCACAGTGCACTCAGTCCTCTCTTGTTGAGGTGCCCTGCTGCACTCTTCTTCAGTGTTCTATCTAATAAAAGTTAACTTTTCAAATCTATACTGTTGTTGGTAAATTATTCTTACTATCCCGCTATCTGTGAGCTGACCAGTTTCCATTGCTTGGGCCTTAATACCTCACCTAACAATGGAAAGGTCATCTTTGGATTGCCTCTGTTTGGGAATTTTTGATCTTCATGTACCTGGCTGTCCATATCTCTCTCCAGGTTTGGGGAAATTTTTGTTCTTTAAATCCATTTTTCAATTATTTATCTCTTCTGGTACTTTCTCTCTCTTTTCCTTCTGGTACTACTATAATCTGTATATTAGTTCTCTTGATAGTGTTCCATAAATCCCATAGCCTTTTCTCATTTCTTTTCATTCATTTTTTCTTCTTTCTCCTCTGACTGGATAATTTCAAATTATCTGCTTTGAGTTCATAGATTTTTCTGCTTGATCAAGTGAATTGTTGATGCTCTTCATTGCATTTTTAAGTTTATTTATTGCTTTCTTCAGCTCCAGAATTTTTCAAAATAAATTTTATTGTGCTTACTTAAGGTACAGGAACACGTTGTTTTGTTGCATTTTGCTCCACTGTGCTCCACAGATAATTGGCTTTTTCTCACAAATTGAAAGTTTGCGGCAACCTTGCATCAAGCAAATCTATTGCTGCCATTTTTCCAACAGCATGTATTCACTTCTAGTCTCTGTGTCACATTTTGGTAATTCTCACAATATTTAAAATTTTTCATTATTATTGTGTCTGTTGTGGTAATCTGCAATTCATGATGTTTGATGTTATTATCGTAAATGTTTTGGGACACCACAAACCACACTCATATAAGACAGGAAACTTAACTGATAAACTTTGTCTGCTCTGCCAACCTATCTCTCCTCTTCTTGGGCCTCCCACTTCCTTAAGACACAACAATATTTAAATTAGGTCAGTTAATAACCCTACAATGACCTCTAATTGTTTGAGTGAAAGGAAGAATCACATATTTCTTACTATAAATTAAAAGCTAAAATGGTTTAGCTTAGTGAGGAAGGCATGTTGAAAGGCAAGATAGATCCAAAGTTTGGCTTCCTGCACCAAACATTTAGCCAAGTTGTGAATGCAAAGAAAAATTTCTTGAAGGAAATTAATGATGCTACTCCAATGAACACATAAAAGAAAACAAAACAGTCTTATTGCTAATATGGAGAAAGTTTTAGTTGTCTGAATAAAAGATCAAAGCAGCCACAACATTTTCTTAAGCCGAAGCCTGATCCAGAGAAGGTCCTTAACTCTATTCAATTCTAGGAAGAATGAGAGAGGCAAAGAAGGTGCAGAAGAAACATTTGAAGCTACCAGTTGTTGTTGGTTCAGGACGTTTAAAGAAAGAAGTAATCTCCATTACATAAAAGTACAAGGTGGGCCTGGCGCAGTGGCTCACGCCTGTAATCCCAGCACTTTGGGAAGCCGAGGCGGGCAGATCACGAGGTCAAGAAACCGAGACCATCCTGGCCAATGTAGTGAAACCCCGTCTCTACTAAAATACAAAAATTAGCTGGGCATGGTGGTACGCACCTGTAGTCCCAGCTACTCGGGAGGCTAAGGCAGGAGAATTGCTCGAAGCCGGGAGGTGGAGGTTGCAGTGAGCCGAGATGGTGCCACTGCACTCCAGCAGGGCACCTGGCAAAAGAGTGAGGCTCTGTCTTAAAAAAAAAAAAAAATGTGCAAGGTGAAGCAGCAAGTGCTGATGTAGATGTTGCAAAAGTTATCCGGAAGACCGAGCTATGGTAATTAATGAAGGTGGCTTTACTAAACAACATATTTTCCATGTAGACAAAATAGCCTTCTGTTAGAGGAAGATGCCATCTAGAACTTTCACAGCTAGAGAGAGGAAATCAAAGCCTCGCTTCAAAACTTCAAAGGATGGGCTGACTCTCTTGTTAGGGGCTAATGAAGCTGATGACTTTAAGTTGAAGCCAAAGCTATTTACTATTTTGAAAGTCTTAGGGCCCATACGAATTATGCAAAATCTAGTCTACCTATGCTCTATCAATGGGACAATAAAGCTGAATAACAGCGTGTCTGCTTACAGCTTGATTTCCTGAATATTTAATCCCACTGTTGAGACCTACCACTTGGAAAAATAGATTCCTTTTAGAATATTACTGCTCACTGACATTGCACCTAGTCACTCAAGAGCTCTGATGGAGATGTACATGGAGTTTAATGTTGGTTCCATGCCTGCTAACACAACATCCATTCTGTAGCCTATGGATTAAGGAATAATTTCAACTTTCAAGTTTTATTATTTAAGAAATATGTTTCATAATGCTATGGCCACCATAGATGATGATTCCTTTAATGAATCTGAGAAAAGTAAGTTGAAAACCTTGTGAAGGAATTCATCAGTGAAGATGCCAATAAGAATATTTGTCATTAATAGAAGGAGGTCAAAATATGAAAATTAACAGGAGTTTGGAAGAAGTTGATTCCAACCCCTATGGATAACTCTGAGGAGTTTAAGACTTCATTGGAGTACGTATTTGCAAGATGAGATGGAAGTAGCAGGATAATTAGAATTAGAGGTGGAGCCTAAGGATATAACTGAATTGCTACAATCTCATAATAAAATTTTAATAGATGAGGAGTTGCTTCTTATAGATGAGCAAAGAAATTGATTTCTTGTGATGGAATTTACTCCTGGTGAAGGTGCCATGAACATTGTTTTAATGACAACAAATAATTTATAATATTACATAAACTGAACTGATAAAGCAGCAGCAAGGTTTGAGATGATTGATTTCAACTTTGAAAGTGTTTTAAAATTAAGGTATGTCCATTTTATTTTTATTATTTTATTTTATTTTTTTGAGACGGAGTCTTACTCTGTTGCCCAGGCTGGAGTGTGGTGGCACAATCTCAGCTCACTGCAACCACCTCTCCCTGCTGGGTTCAAGCTATTTTCCTGCCTCAGCCTCCCAAGTAGCTGGGATTATAGGCACCTGCCACCACATGCAGCTAATTATTGTATTTTTTAGTAGAGACAGGGTTTCACTACGTTGGCTAGGCTGGTCTTGAACTACTGACTTCAAGTGATCTGCCTACCTCAGCCTCCCAAAGTGCTGGAATTACAGGCATGAGCCCTGTATCTGGCCCATTTTATTTTTAGACATAATGCTCTTGCACACCTAATAGCCTACAGTATAGGGTAAACATAACTTCTGTATGCACTGGGAAACAGAAAGTTCATGTGACCCACTTTATTGTGATGTTTTCTTTATGGAAATGGACTGGAACTAAAACCACATTATCTCTAAAGTATGCTTGTATACAATATGATGCTATACAGTACATGTATAGTAAACAGATTACCATAATGATGCAAATTAAATATCCATCAACTCACATAATTACCCTTTTTTATGGCAAAAGCAGCTAAAATCCACTTATTGATTAATAGTATGATCCAGGATCTACTAGTTTTATTACCTGCAGTCCTCATGTGTACATTAGATCTCTAGACTCGTTCTTCCTACGTATCTGCCACTTTGTACCTTCTGACCTACATATTCTGTTTGTTTTTATTTCTGTTTGTTAAACTTCTCGTTTGGTTCATGTGCTGTTTTCCTGATTTCATTAAGTTGTCTGTGTTCTTTTTGTGGCTCACTGTGTTTTTTCTTAACAATTACTTTAAATGTGTCTGGAAATATGTAGAGCTCCATTTTGGAGGGTTGTTTACTGGAAAAATATGGTGTTTCTTGGGTGGTGCCATGTTTCCTTGATTTTTCATGTTCTTCAAAGTCTTGAGTTACTGTCTTTGCATTTGGATATATAGTCATGTCCTCCAGTCTTCACTGACTGGCTTCAGGGGACAAACACCTTCACCAGTCGGCTCAGCTGGGTATTTGACAGCTCTCTCAGGCCTTTTCTATGGATGCGTCCATACCGCCCCTCCTGCTCCCCTCTTTGAAGGAAATTCTTAAGATTGTATGGCTTCTGTCAATCCTGCAGCGCCAGACCAGATGCTGAGAAGCTCTTGTTTGTCTTCCCTAGAGCAGTGCCCTAAAATGCTCACATTTGTGTGCTTTCTCCCAGTCCCATGGAGTTGGGTGGTCTGTCTGCACATGCTATCTGCAGAGGCTTGCACTCCCTGTCTCCAGGAACACATGTGAAGAACAGGCTGCAGGGTAGGGGGTAGTGATGCATGTGGGGCATTGGGGGTACCCATGGGCCAGTTGGGATGGTCTGCAGGTGAGACATCCCAAACAGCTCATGGGTGGGTTTCTGATGGACTCCCTGAAGCAGCAAGCGGGGTCCATGGCCCTTTGTTTAGTAGTGAGCCCTGGTGGCTGTGAGTCTTTGCCTCTCTTTGCTGTTTGCAGCCTCCCTCCCCACTCAGCTGTGATAATCACCTCAGTATTTTCTGTGGGGTGAGAAAGAAGTGGGCCTCTTGGGCAGTGTCTCACACAGCTGGAGGAGCCAGGGGCTCATTCACTATTGTCTCACTTCTTCCCGTGGGAGAAATTGTGGGCTGAGGAGATCTCTCTTGGCACTGAGTTGTGCTACCTTGCAGGAGAGGTGTCATGGGTAAAGTGAAACTGTTCTTCTTGCCCTCTTCAATGCATCTATTCTTGGATTTTTTTTACTCCAATAATGTTCTGGAATTTCTCCACTGGCCACCCAGGCTCATACTACAGTACTCTCATCCATGGGTAGTCGTCAAAATCAATGTGTCCATGGGGAAATGATAGTAGAAAACTCCTATTCTGTCATTTTACTGACAGCATTCTCCTCTACTTTTAGATTCTTTTTTTTTTGAGATGGAGTTTCACTCTTGTTACCCAGGCTGGAGTGCAATGGTGCGATCTCGGCTCACCGCAACCTTCGCCTCCTGGGTTCAGGCAATTCTACTGCCTCAGCCTCCTGAGTAGCTGGGACTACAGGCACACGCCACCATGCCCAGCTAATTTTTTGTATTTTTAGTAGAGACGGGGTTTCACCATGTTGACCAGGATGGTCTCGATCTCTTGACCTCGTGATCCACCCGCCTCGGCCTCCTAAAGTGCTGGGATTACAGGCTTGAGCCACCGCACCCAGCGTGGTCTCTATCTCTTGACTTCATGATCCACCTGCCTCAGCCTCCCAAAGTGCTGGGATTACAGGCTTGAGCCACTGCGCCCGGCCTACTTTTAGATTCTTTATTGTAGCCCCGATGGCTTCCATTTGCCTGCTAAAGGTAGGGTGGTCTTTAGCAAGAAAACGACCATGTTCCACTCTGGAACACTTGCTCTTAAAAATGACAGTTCTTCTAAAGCAAACATTTTTCTCCGTTATATTAGTCACAGAATGTAACTTCCCCAGAGCTTGAAGCTCTAGGTGATATAATCTGAGCTTTACTGAGTACACCAAGAAATTAAGAAGAGAAACCCAAACTATCATCTATCACCTAGTACACTATATTTACTAATCTATAGCCACCTTTACTCTGTTTCAGTTAAATTAGGTTAATACTAGTTGCTATAGACAACCCCTCCTAAATTATCTGTTATCAAAAGTATCTACTAATTAGTGGGTTGATAGATAAACCCCCAAATTCCAGTTGCTTAACACAATAAAATACTTTTTTCCTTTATACAAAGGCAAAGGTGGCTGTTCTTCAGGTAGACGTTTCTCATGGTGACTTGGGACACAGACTTCCTTCCTCTTGGGGTTCCACCAGTTTCTGAAGCCCTAGAGCTCCTTGTCTCCATCTGGCCATGGGGGATAAAGGAGAGGGGAGACACACAAGCTCTCTCCTCACTTCAGCCTGGAAGTGACTTTCATCACTTATGCTCACGTTCCAATGTGATGCCAGAGAGCTAAGAAATGGATTCCTTGGCTGGGCAGCCACTTCCTAGCAACAACTGCACAACTATGGAAGGAACAGCTGGCCGTCCTGTCACACTGATTTTGAGAAGAGAACACAATAGGTTATTTTCCATGTAATTTCCATCTCTCAGGGTTGAATCATTGAAGGTTTAACAAGACTAATGATTGTAATCGCAAATTAGGATTTGTAGCAGTTTATAAAATATTCAGGTAATGCCCATTTGTGGCTGGATGTGTTTATGTGTATGGTGGGGGCTGTGATGCTAGAAAAAGCTATTCTGCAGCCTTATTGAGTTTTCCTAAATGATGGAGATAAAGGTTTTTGATAGTTGCCTTGGATGATCACTATTCTGTTGGCTTTCTTAGTAAAATTTGACTTTATGAGCATAGTACATCTGAGGAGGGTTTTATGTGTTCCTCTGTGGTTTGTTGAGGCAAGAGGAGAGGGCACCTGACCATGTGTGCTATTGTTAAAATCAGGGAACACTTTCTTTCCTCCCTTTGCAGTAAAGAACATAAAATTGAAACATGCTATGTAGCCTGAAGACAAGTCTGAGCCCGTGTTTGGGAAATTAAATGGCTTGATCATGTCATTCATAGTAAGTTAAGGTGACAGTGCATCTGATCAGTGCAATTCTATTACATCAATATTGTTTTTTGTGCCCTTCAGAATTCTGATGAATTCTGATTAACTTTGCTAATCACCTGTGGCCTGCTAGACCTGCTGAGCAGTACTGCAGTTGCGTGGGTGGGAGTATTTGAGGGCTGGTAACATGAACAGCAAAAACAAGAATCTACTACTCTACAGTAGGCATTACTTTGCATTCCTATCTCCTCTCCAGTTATTCTAGTAAAGCACTGGTAGGATGAAAGGTAGAAATGGCATCAGTGAATATACTCAGAATGACTGCTTATCAATTTACCCATATTGCCTTTTTCATTCTTCTCAAGTGGTCATTTTCATATAACTGATGCTGCGTCTCTTCATTAAGAGGTAACATACATCAATGCAGAACTATTTACCCAAATGATAATTTCTCCTTGTGCTTTTTCTCCATTTCCATGTCAAATTTTAGATTATCAATATTAATTTTGCTTGAAGCCAAGGATCAAACTGTCAATGCCAGCCAACTATATAAATTTGCTTGTCACTAGTGGACTTAGGTCTGCTTGTTGCTCCTTTGCAACATCTGTTCATAAACAGAAAAATTGCATGGGCGGTTCTTAAGTGTGATTCATGATCATCATAGGAGAAAAGTTCTCAAATTCTTTTTTGCATCTGCCTTTCAAAGATTTCAGTTGTATTTCTGCCTACATTAAGGTGCTTTTCTTTTTGTATTAAAATTAATTTTCTTTCCAAGGATTTGATTTGGTTGCGGCTTTTCTGACCTGGTTCCCTTCTATATCGTATGCTCAGCTCTTATATTCAAATCCAGTATTATAAAGCTGCAATACAACAAAATTTTAGTTCAACTTCCTCTGCTAAGACCGGCTCTAACATGTCTTGTCTTATTAAACTTCTCTGCAGCAGCACATCTTTATGAAGAGCGTGTAGAATGCAGACCATGATACCGCTGGGCCAACACTTAGTGGCCTTCCCTTTCCTTTCTCTGACCTCAGCTCTGTATCTGTGTCCCACATCTGTACTGCTCTAGGGAGAACCCAGCTGAACCTTGCAAAACAGTGCACTGGTCTCTTTTATTCTTGCTGTTCCAGGAGATGTGATATGCACTAGGAGGAGGGGTTATGTTGTATGACCACAGCAAAGCCCAGATGTGAAAACATGTGTAAGATGTCCTTGGGATATTTCCTAACCACAAACAGCAAACTTCAAGTCTCCAAATCAGCTACTTGGAACTGCTTTTATGGGATATGACATTTAACAAGGATGACAGTGCCTAGGATAATATTGAAATGAACCAAATAATGTTCTAAGAGGGCCAAATGCATATGAGTTGTGATGCAATTTCAAGAATATTTGTGTCTGTTTTTAACATCCTTTCTCACCTGTGCTTTCAACCCCACTTGTATTCTTCTGTAAAGCCTTTCCAAGCCCTGAAAGACTTCAAAAAGCAGTAAGAATTCACTGGACTACCCCATAAGTCATGTCTTTCCAACCCAATCTATTCTCCACAGAGGGACATCTTAATGCATAAACAAAATAATCTCACTTCTGTTTCCTGTTGCACTTACAACAAAATCCTAATTCTTTACCACAGCCTAGATGTTCTTGCACGAATGTGACCCTGACCATCTTTGCAGTCTCATTTCACACCTTCTCCCACCTTTGCTCACTCTGTTCCAGTTATACTGTATTCGCTTAGCAACTTGAAAATGCTAAGCTATTTCCCACATCAGAACCTTTGCTGTAGTCTTTGCTGGAACACAATTATCCCAGTTCTTTTTTTTTTTTTTTTTTGAGACAGAGTCTTGCTCTGTTGCCCAGGCTGGAGTGCAGCAGCGTGATCTCAGCTCACTGCAACCTCCTCCTCCCAGATTCAAGCAATTCTCCTGCCTCAGCCTCCTGCGTAGCTGGGATTACAGGGGCATGCCATTACACCTGACTAATTTTTGTATCTTTTAGTAGAGATGGAGTTTCACCATGTTGGTCCATCTGGTCTCGAACTGCTGACCTCATGGTCTACCTGTCTTGAACTCCCAAAGAACTGGGATTACAGGCATGAGCCACTGTGCCCACAATTATCCCAGTTCTGCTGAGCTGTATCCTTCAGGTCCTTCAAGTCTGAATTTAAATGTTACCTCTTCAGAGAGGCCTTTCCTGGCTACCATGTTTAAAGTAAGTCCTTCACATTCTCACCCTCTTCATCTCTATCTTGATGCCACTTTGCTTTCTATGCATTATAGTATTTGTTTACTCGCTTATTATCTCTTTCTCCTACTAGAACATAAGCTTTATGAGGGCAGGAACTTGTCTGTCTTCCCTTTGTATCACCAGCACCTGGCACAGCTCGTCACACAAACCAGATTGTTTGTCACTGTTTGCTGAACAATGGTTTTTATGGTCCCTCCATGGTTGGCTTTTCCTTCCCACAATGTACTTCCTTATAGGGGCAGTTCTTTGTTTATAATTTGCCTTCCAAAAGGAAACTTACAAATGACTTTTAAAAATTAGAAGGCAGTGTATAGAAGCAACTTTTGAAAAACTGTGTTTCCAGCGACAGCCTTTAGGATCCTGTGTAGGAGCCTCTGGAATTGCGATACTTAAAAAAATGAAGCGAATAACTAGTGCATGGCACTGTTGCACACAAACAGGATTTTAATTATATTCACTTTTCCATCCCCTACCCAGGTTCCGCGATGCATTAAAGGAGATACGCCCAGGCAAACCCCACATCTGAAACTTACTCATAAGGAATATAAATAAGGGATGGCAAATGTGATTTGGGCGAGAAGAATAAAGGAGAGAGGGCAGGTGACTGGCTGGTGCCTGTGGGAGGAGTTGGGACCATTTCTTAGCACCTTTCCAATAAAACTGGAACAGAGTGAGCAAAGGTGGGAGAAGGTGTGAAATGAGACTGGAAAGATGGGCAGGGTCGCATTTGTGCCAGACCTTCCTGCTTCCAAGCTTGGTTGGTTTGATCATGGCTCAGAGGTGTGCCCCCTTGCTCTGTGGTTGGATCACTACCAAAACTAATTGATCTTGGAGGTTGGGGTCCCAGAATGAAGGTGGAAGCAGGTGGGTTAGAGCATTCCTGAATAGAGGGAGGCTTTTTTCATGGGTTTTCTGGTCTGTCTGTGAAAAGGACTCTACGCTGGCCCTGGGATGAGAGCATAAAGGAGCAATGGGCACCTCCCCCAGCTCTCCGGGGAGAGACTCACAGCTCACCAGCCATGGCTTCCTCACACCCAGGCCAGCTTTTCCCAGCAGAGGGAACTTCCCTCTCCAAGGCCTCCTCTGTTCTGAAGCCCGGAAATGGGACCAACGGGAAGACTCTCACTTCTCACTTCTCAGCTGTACGGGGAGATACCCAGGAGTGAAACCCACCCACCTATAACTGCCAAAGGAGCCCTAGGTCTCACCTATCTCCTTCTGTGAGTGACTCCACACAATATTCCACCCGTTGGCTGAGCCGTTGCTAGCTGAGGTGCTGCACTTTTTACCCCCACCACAGATCCCCAGGCATGTTCTTCTGCTCTTCCTCCACCCATCTCCCCACTAACAGAGACTGATTTTAGCACTTCCTTCCTGGTACAAGGCCTTAAGGTCTTTCTGCTGAGAGGAGAGAAGGGCTCAAAAGGCTTTGGTGTGATGTCTTCATTGTTTTCCCCTAGGGCCACCCTTATTTGCTTCCCATTTTCAACAAAGAAGAGATGCCCCTGTGGGACAGGGGAGGGGTCAGGGGTCAGACAGGCAGGCTGCTCCCTCACCTAATCATTGCTCTCATCCTCCTTCCCGTTTCCCTGTGGAACTTGATAGTCACAGCTGCCCAACGAGTACGATATAGGGAAGAAGATGGCCTACACGCCTCACTCACCATGGTGTGAGCTGTCACAGAAGAGGGAACTTTTAACTTCATGATTTTGGTTGTTTTCTGGCTAATTTGTATGCCTTGCTGTGAAGAGTACATACATTTCTTTTAAACTACAGGAAGAAGAAAATATCACATTGGTCACCAATACTTCTAGGTAGAGTGAGAAACACTTTACCTGGAATTGAGGTCCTCACCACACTAAACATGACAGCTACGCTGTGTGACTGCCAGCACTCCCCAGAGAATCGCAGGATGGGCCTCTGGACTCAGAAAATATCAATGTCCCTTTCAGGTGGTGGGAATCTTGTTTTATTTTACTCTCTTTATTTTAAATTAGAAAACAGACTAAGAAATGGTTAAATGTGTTTGCCGGAAAATATTCAAGTGTAAGGCAACAGTTTCCAAATTCCCTGCAGAGACCGGGCACAAGGGAACATTGGCAGCCAAGTCGGTTATTAAGAAGGTCACAAGATGCCATCTGTTACTGCGTGCACTTTACTGTTCAAGCATAACATGGACTTGGAGGTGGCAGCAATTGATTTTGCCTGTGAACTTAAAAGATAGAGCTATGATGGACACCATAGTGAGTTTAGTAGGCTTATATGAACAAACCATGTGTCTGCCTATGAGATGGGCAGGAGTCACGTGGGAAGAAAATAGGGAAAAGGTGACGCATTATTTTCAGTTGTGTCCTTGGTTATAGCTCAAATGTAATTTGGGGTGCTCCTGGTTGATTTTCTTTTTCGTGTGTGTGTGCCTGGTTTTAGCCATTTACAAAATATGACAGTAGAACTGCCTTCTTTATTTCTAATTATGAAGTTAAAGCAGATAAATGGGGGAGAGCATGCATAAAAAGACAGATAAATGAACTGCCTTATTCTTCTGTTAACAAAGAATAAAAGAGTTAAAAATTCTTTTAAAGAAAATTCTTTTAAGGAATTTTAAAAATCCACAAGAAAGTTAAAATGGCACAATCAATACCCACCTGCCCTCTCCTAGATTCATCAATTGTTAATATTTTGCCACATTTCCTGACATTTGCTTCATCTCAATCTCTCTGTACTGATACACCTACATATACTTATTTGCTAGAATGTTGAGAGTAAAATTAAAATATCATAACAGTATGTCCTAAATATTTCCACATGAGTATCCTGTGGATGAAAATGTTCTCTTACACAATATTATGATCACACTAAAAAAAAATGACATTTTCTTAAAGTCAGCTGATTAGAAAAAAAGGAATTTAACATTGCTAGAGTAATTTTTATCTAATATGTAGACCATTGAATGACTTATTTTTAAAAATCTGTCAGGAAAGAGATTTGCTCTCTAATCTATCTTGATGGTTAACACATCTCCCTTTAAGACAATGATACCTTATATTTTTGAGACACTTTGAAAAATCTGATGGAAGCTCTGGGCCCTATCTTCAGAAAAATATTCATAAAGACAGTACCAGTCTGTGGCCTGTTAGGAGCCAGGCTGCACAGCAGGAGGTGTGCAGTGAGGAGCCAGCAAAGCTTCATCTGCATTTATGGCCACTCCCCTTTGTTGGCATTACCATCTGAGCTTCTCCTCCTGTCAGACCAGTGGCAGCATTAGATTCTCATAGGAGCACAAACCCTGTTGTGAACTGTACATGCAAAGGATCTAGGCTACATGCTCCTTATGGGAATCTAATGCCTGATGATCTGTCATTGTCTCCCATCACCCCCAGATGTGACCATCTAGTTGCAGGAGAAGAAGCTCAGGGTTCCCACTGATTCTACATTATGGTGAGTTGTATAATTATTTTATTATCTATTACAATGTATTAATAATAGAAATAAAGTGCACAATAAATGTAATACACTTGAATCATCCTGAAACCATCACCCCTGCCCCTGCCCACCTGCCTTCCATGTTTCCATGTTTCCATTGTCTTCCCTGAAACTGGTTCCTGGGGCCAAACAAGGGTGGGGACTGCTGCATGAAGACACTTAAACTGGTCAATCATGCATATCTTGGCTGCTTCTAGTTATGTTTTCATATTTAATCTAAATTCCCCTCCTCTGTGGACATACAACTTAAGACCACAGTGCTCAAAAAACATGGAGAACGGTTTGTCTTCACCTTCCAACATTGTGTTTTGTGTTCATGAATCTTCATTTCAAATGACAGGCATGTGGGAGCTCAAAGTATCCCCCACCTGTTAAAGGAAAACAGAGTCACACATAAGGCTGACAGTTGTACTATGGCAGACACCCAGTAGGTGGACTAAATGATTAGAATAGAGACCTGGAGGTAGACTTCTAAACTTGAGCCTCTCTGATTCTGCAAGCCTACACTTGCTTTCTTGATAATTTGCTTTTAAAAACTAAATACCTGTAACCTGGAAGTACAGGAAATACAGGTATTTTCATCAGGGTTGGCACAACATTTAAGGACCTAATACCTAAAGATGGAATTTGTTGGTAATCACAAAGATATTTAGTTTTATCAACAAATTGCCCAATTCAGTTACAGTTCTAAGACTGGGCAGGGAAGCAGGAAGGTACATGCTAGCAAATTAGGGTAACATTAAATGTCCTTAACTAAAAGGCAGGCTGAAGCTGCCAAGGTCAAGTCGTACCATAGGCTCTATTTTGTGAACTGTGAACTTGCAAAGAAAAGTCATTAGCTAAGCATACTACAACATAAGGGAGCTTAACACTGGTTAAGAGGAACACTGGTTCCTCCATACCAACTAAAGAAAATGAAAGACATTTCTAGTTCAGTTAGAGAAATAATCAAGTTGACTGAAAGATCAACACAAATGAGTAAATACCTAATGCTGTGGTCTAGCACAATCCTAATGTCTGGTTTTGTTCTCCCATAATGCACCAAATGCCTCAAAATTACTTTCTGTAAAACTTTAATATTGTAGAATCATATCACTTACTAATTAATGATTAGTATAATTCCTGAAAGGAAGGGTAACAAAAAGCTAGTTAAGCCTCTGGGAGGCCTGTGGGATTTATAAAAGTCTTACAGAGCTTTGAAAGGCTAAGAATTCACAGAGCATGGAACAATCAGCACTAATTGTGAAGGATAAACTTCTTATCCATCTGCTTTTACTGTGGCTATGAAAAAGTAGGTTTTTCTTGAATTTAGCTAAGTAATTGTTAAGCTCTTTGACTCTGGCTTAAGATGTCTTGTTTTTAAAAAGAGTTTATCAGCATAAAAAAAGCACACGAAGCAAGGAACATTGGCCACTGGCTAGTTCTCTCTTTTGACTTATTCCTAATGACCAGACCCCATCATATTACAACAAGCAAGGCACCCTTTCAGCATTTTCCTCTGATTTTTAATAATATCACACCAGATAACTCAATATCATTAGTCATTAAAAAAATCAAGCTGGATACCATGGCTCATGCTTGTAATCCCAGCAGTTTGGGAGGCCGATGTGGGAGGATTGCTTTAACTCAGGAGTTCGAGACCAGTCTGGACAATAGCCTGAGACTTCATCTCTACAGAAAATGTTTAGAAAGTAACTGGTGGCATGTGCCTGTAGTTCCAGCTACTTGGGAGGCTGAGGCAGGTGGATCACTTGATCCTGGAAGTTAGAGGTTGCAGTGAGCCATGATCATGCGCTGCACTCCAGCCTAGGTGGCAGAACAAGACTATCTCAAAAAAAAAAAAAAAAGAAGAGAAGTGCAAGTGAAAAAGCACAATGACAACGTATGTTCTCATTTGGAAGTGGGAGCTAAGCTATGAAGATGCAAAGGCATAGGAATAATATGATAGACTTTGTGGAACTCGGGGGAAAGGGTGGGTGGGGGTGAGAGATAAAAGACTGCACTTGGGTGCAGTGTACACTGCTTGGGTGATGGGTGCATGAAAATCTCAGAAATCATCACTAAAGAACTTATTCATGTAACCAAACACCACCTGTTCCCAAAAAACGTATTGAAATTAAAAAAAATTTTATTTTTATTAAATAAAAAAAAACAACACAATGAGCTACTACGTCACATCCATTCGAATGGCCATAATCACAAAGACAGTAACAAACTTTGGGAAAGATGTGGAGAAACAGAAACCTTCATTCATTGCTGGTGAGAAAATAAAAGAATACAGTCATACTGGGCACGGTGGCTCACACCTGTAATCCCAGCACTTTGGGAGGCAGAGGCAGGTGGATTACCTAAGGTCAGGAGTTCGAGATCAAGCTGGCCAATATAGTGAAACTCTATCTCTATTAAAAATACAAAACTGAGGTCAAGAGATTGGGACCATCCTGGTCAACATGGTGAAACCCTGTCTCTACTAAAAATACAAAAAATTAGCTGGGCATGGTGGCACATGCCTGTCATCCCAGCTACTCAGGAGGCTGAGGCAGGAGAATTGCCTGAACCCAAGAGGCGGAGGTTGTGGTGAGCCGAGATCACGCCATTGCACTCCAGCCTGGGTGGAGTGGAACTCTGTCTAAAAAAAAAAAAAAAAAAAAAAACTTAGTCAGATGTGATAACACGCTATAATCCCAGCTACTCTGGAGGCTGAGGCAGGAGAATTGCTTGAATTCAGGAACTGGAGGTTGCAGTGAGCCAAGATGGTGCCACTGCACTCCAGCCTGGGCTTGGGTGACAGAGTGAGATTCCATCTCAAAAAACAAACAAAAACAGCACTTTGGAAAATGGTTTATTTAAAAGTTAAAGAAAAATTAATAGGAGGATCCAGTGATTCTACATATAGGCTTTTACCCACTAGAAATGAAAACATTTGTCGGCACAGACTTGCAGGTGAATGTTCATCACAGCATTATCCATAGCAGCCAAAATTGGAAACAATCCTAATGTCTGTCACCTGGTGAATGAGTAACAAAACCTGGTATATTCATACAGTGGATTACTATTCGGCAATTAAAGAAAGAACAAAATACTAAAACAGCTACAGCATGGATGACCCTCAAAACATCGTATTAAGTTAAAGAAGTCGACATAAAAAATTGCACAGTGTATGATTCCATTTGTATGACATATCCAGTAAAGGCAAATCTATACAGAAAGTAGATGAGTGGTTTTCTGGTGCTGCTAGTAAGAAAGGGTATAATGAGCTATAAATGAACAAAAGGAATCTTACTGGGCTGATGAAAATACTCTAAAACCAGATTACGGTGATGGTTGCCTAACCTGGTTAGTTTACTTAATTCATTGAACTGTATACTTAAATTGGGTCAATTTTATGGTATAGAAGGTATATCTCAATAAAATTGTTTAAAAATACACTTGAGCTTCTTAAGACCTTAATAAAAATTTACAGCCTTGAAATTTTAGCAGTCTTACTTCTCTCTAATTCTAAGAGTGTAAGTTTGTATCGTAGCATAATATTTCAGACACAAAAATGTTTACCTCTCCCAAAAGCTCCAGAAGAATTACTATGAATTTAACTAGTTCAGTTTGATGAACTGTTTGATGTTTACTTTTAAAAAGAGATATTATTCTTAATTGACACATAATAATTGTATATATTTCTGGAGAACAGTGAGATATTTTAGCACATGTATATACTGTGTGATGAGTGAGTCACATGGCATATCCATCATCTCAAATATTTATGAGTTATTTGTGTTGGGAACATTAAAAATCCTTCCTTGTAGCTATTTGAAAATATACAATATTCCAGAGACATTTCAAATAAAAAAGAAAATACACAATAAAATTTTTTTTTTGAGACAGAGGCTTGCTCTGTTGCCTAGGCTAGGGTACAGTGTGCAATCATGGCTCAATGCATCCTCAACTTCCCAGGCTCATGCAATCCTCCTGCCCTAGACTCCCTAGTATCTGGAACCACATGTGCCACCATCACACCCAGCTAATTTTAAAAAATTATGATTTGTAGAGACGAGGGTCTCCCTATGTTGTGTAGGCTGGTCTCAAACTCCTGGCTTCAAGTGATCCTCTTGCCTTGGCCTGCCAAAGTGCTGGGATTACAGCCATGAGTGGTGGTGCCTGGCCATAAATTACTGTTAACTGTATTCTCCCCACAGTGTTGAAGAACACTAAAACTTATTCTTACCTAGCTATAATTTTTGGTCAGATGCTAAAGGGAAACAAATGATGTGTGTACCATTTGTTGTAATAGCCTAATTGGAAGTGTAAGAAATTTCATTCTAACACTTCATTTAATCCTGAATTTTCCTCTTCATGTGCATGCAGGACTATTCCCTGATATAACCAGGACCTTTAAAAAGTCATTTGATGTCAAGCATGGAGTGGTAAGTCCAACATTTCTCAGTGATTACTTAACTGTAGAGAGCTTAAATGATTGTATACTACATATTATTTATTTAAAAAAGGGGTTAAAATTTTAAAAAACAATACTCACCATTTATTCCTGATTGCTTATTTTATGTGTAGCTTTCTATTTGGTGATAGGAATACAACAATAACCAAGGTTACAAATAGTGAACGACTGATGGATGATACTGTGTTTTTCTCATCATCACCAACTTTTCCTCTTTCCCATGCAGAGGAAAAATGATATGTAATATACTGGCAGTTAAAGATAACTTTTCTCTAATTGTAAACATTCAAATAATACAGAGTAATAAAGTAAAGATTATCTGAAATCCTTTCCCTTCCCCCGGGACAATCACCATTTTCATTTCAGTGAACATCTTTATAAATCTCTCTCTATACTTATGTATACCTAAGGATACATGCATACACACAGTATATTGATGAGATCATACTGAACACTGTCCTCTGTAACCTGCTTTTATCACTCAGTATTTTCATGGATATCCTTCAGTGTTAATTAACGTAATTATTTGTTGTCATTTTTAAAGGATACATAATATTTCATTGACAGACTCCATTACAATTTTAAAATATGCCACGGGCTGGGCCCAGTGGCTCATGCCTGTAATCCCAGCACTTTAGGAGGCTGAGGTGGGCAGATCACCTGAGGTCAGGAGTTCAAGACCAGCCTGACCAACATAGTGAAACCCCATCTCTACTAAAAAAAAAAAAAAATACAAAATTAGCCGGGAATGGTGATGTGTGCCTGTAATCCCAGCTACAGCAGGTGGAGGCTGCAGTGAGCTGAGATCATGCCACTGCACTCCAGCCTGGGTAACAAGAGCAAAACTCCATCTTAAAAGAAAAAATACATACATATATATATATGCATGCCATATCAGGAGGCATTTAAGGTTTTCTAATTTATAACTATTGTAACCAATGCTGTGATCAACGAAATTTGAATACACGTTTTGCAGCTGTGAAACTATCTTTTCAGGATACATTCTCATAAGAAGAATTCTCGGGTCAAAAATACACTTTTTTTACATATGGCAAAATTGCCTTCCCAAAAATTGGCCTTAAGCCCCAGTAGTGTGTGAGAGTGCCTATTTTCCTATATTCTCTCTAACACTTGCTTTAAAATATAATCGATGTTTTCCAACTTGACAGATGAAGATCAATTTTCTTTTAATTTCATTTATTTATTAGTGAGGTCAAGCATCTTCTATGTTTATTCATCATTCATAGTTCTTTCATGAATTGTAATTGATTCTCACTATTTGTAAAATCACCATGAATACTGACTTAGGTAATACTGAACCATTGTTCCTAAAGGAAATATAACATTAGGTTCCTGGGAGCCTCCAGTCATGACATTTTTGCCAACTAATCAATATATAATTTTGTTTTTACATATGTTTCTGTTTAAAGACACAATTTAATTCATGTTTTTATTTTATTAACATTGAACTCATGGCTAACAGCACTGTAACTAATTCCAGAATGGAGCTTAATTAGTTGACAAATAAATTTTAACAAGGAGGTAAATTTGCAAATACAAATTCATAAATAATTATATTTGAATGATAATGATAGATTTCCTTTGTCCATTTTCCTACTAGGGTGTTTAGCTTTTTCTTATTGATTTATATAAGGTATTTTCATATTAGGATTATACTCTTTTGTCTACATTTTACTGTTATTGTTATTACAGTGGTGGCTTTTTTTTTTTTTTTGGAAACAGAGTCTTGCTATGTTGCCTTGGTTGGCCTTGAACTCCTGGGCTTAAGAATCCCCTGCCTCAGCCTCCCGAGTGGCTGAAACTACACTGTACTCATGGTGGTGGCTTTTGACAACAGTATCAGTGCTTTCTGAAAGCAGGGGTGGGGAGGAACAATGTTGGGAAAATGAATTTTATTAGATTTCGATTATTATGAAAGTGGTTGGTATTTATATCTACCTCTCCTTTTCTAGGCACATCAAATTTGGGGTTGTGGTGATTTTTTTCCGACACCACCAAATTATGGAAAATCTTGTAAGTCTCATCCTAAACTACCATATTATATCCATTTTCTGCCTTTATTTTAATCATGGTCTTCATGTGATATTTTCATACCTTTTGCATTTCTGCTTCCTTTCTCCTCGCACCCACATTATTGCATCATTTCGTCTCTCCTAACAATACAAAAGGTAGGATGCAGAAATAGGAGGGAGAAATGCAAGAGGCATTTGCTCCTCATGCTGGTGGTAGAGATAGGGGCTGTGTAAGTAAAGGTTTGGATCTAGTGATTTAACACGAGGTTTGGGAATGTCAGGAAATTTCACTTATGGTAGATTCTGTTTATCACAAACATTCACGCATTGGCTGTCTCTTCACTCTAGGTGTGAGACCTAAAAAGCCAGCACAAGAGGCCCTGATGAACTATGGTCGACGAGGAATATGTGTCCTAAAGCCTGTAAGAATCTTTTTACTTGACGTGCAACAGATCTCTGGGAGAGAGTCAGGAAGAGGGGTTCCATGTGTCTCCACATGGCAGCAGGGAGGTGGCCTGTGTATGTTTAGAGTTGGTATAAAAGTATTCCCCAAGTTACAATCAGGCTAAAAGTGGAGCAGTTCTGATAAGAAAAAGTCTTCCTTCGCCGGGCGCGGTGGCTCACGCCTGTAATCCCAGCACTATGGGAGGCCGAGGCGGGTGGATCACGAGGTCAAGAGATCGAGACCATCCTGGTCAACATGGTGAAACCCCGTCTCTACTAAAAATACAAAAATTAGCTGGGCATGGTGGTGCGCGCCTGTAGTCCCAGCTACTCGGGAGGCTGAGGCAGGAGAATTGCTTGAACCCAGGAGGCGGAGGTTGCAGTGAGCCGAGATCGCGCCATTGCACTCCAGCCTGGGTAACAAGAGCGAAAACTCCGTCTCAAAAAAAAAGAAAAAGTCTTCCTTAAAACATCATGAACAGTTTCCTGGGTAGATCTCTCCATAGCTTTTTTGGAACAAACCTCTAAGAGGCTTACAGCAGTTGGGATTTCTATTGTACTTCTGAATTTTCATCAGCGCGTTGCTGGGTTCTGCCTGTTGTGAAAGAGGGAGTGAGTTCTCAGATCGCCCTGCCCTGCCGCATATCCATCCTGTGTGTCTGGTGGCTGGAGAGTCCCTCTCCATGTGCCTGTCCTGCCACCCGGCATTTATGATCCCTGCTTCCCCGATATGGCCCTCCAGACCAGGGAGTCTCTCCTTCCTCATTAGACTTTCTCAAAACCCAGGGCTTATAAACAGATTGTTAAAATGGGGTTCTTTTTATGTCTTAAAGTTCTAGCAGAGACTTTCAGAAAATAAGTTGAAAGAGGTCGGGCGCTGTGGCTCATGCCTGTAATCCCAGCACTTTGGGAGGCCCAGGAGGGCAGATCACCTGAAGTTGGGAGTTCAAGACCAGCCTGGCCAACATGGCAAAACTCTGTTTCTACTAAAAAGACAAAAATTAGCTGGCGTGGTGTTGGGTGCCTATAATCCCAGCTACTCAGGAGGCTGAGGCAGGAGAATTGCTTGAACCCTGGAGGCGGAGATTGCAGTGAGCCAAGATCATGCCATTGCACTCTAGCCTGGGTAACAAAAGCAAAACTCTGTCTCAAAAAAAAGAGAGAGAGAGAGAGAATAAGTTGAAAGAATAAAAACTGGTTTCTACATAGAAGGTACAACTATTTTTGCTATTCTATTACTTTATTAAGATTTCTCTTTAACTTAAAAAAACTCAGACTCGTCCTAAGTAATTATGTTTACTATACCGTGGGTCTGATATGCTCATTATGTGTGTTAGAAAAAAAAACCCTGACCATTAAAATAAAAAATGTTATACAAGTACTACCTAACAGTATCACAAAAACCACCATTTAACTTTGGAAATGTTGGTCTTTGGGCCTTAACTAGCAAATCTGATACATTTCACTAATGGGAGAGGGTTGGATGACCCATGCTGATTCCCAGGCAACTAGTCTATTTTAGTGGTAGTCTTTCAGAAATGGTGCAGTTTTTCTTGACTTTTCTACTTAGGGCCTGATAACTTTCCCAGGGAGCATTTCAAGCATGGGAAGCCAGTGATGTGGCAGACCAAGGAGGGAGTTATTTGGGGACATTTGTAGCTGTGTGGTCCCCTTAAAGTTATATTGTGTGATCAACCAGGGACATCCCTTTACTGTAGGTTGAAGCCTGCTTCTAGGAAGGGTAGATGATTTCCTGAAAGTACATTTACTGAAAGCTGGCCTCTTGGGAGTGGCTTTGGAGAATCATTAACTATTGTTAAATAAATAAATCCCTTTTGCCTACATGGAGTTTTACTGGTGCCAAGCAATTCCATTGCCAATCAGTGTCTGCAGCTGTTCTGGGGAACAGTTGCTTCTCTCTGTAAGGTACTTCCCCAGCCCCCACCCCCAGAAAGGGAATTCTCTCTACTCACAATAGCAGCTTTTAAGTCAACCATTCCCAACAAATAAATGACATTACATCCTGCTCTTGCTTTTGTGGTGCAATAACAGGCTAAAATTACATGCACATGCACACACACACACACACACACACACACACACAATTAATATGGGGTGCATATTTGGAAAACCTTGGACCTAGAGTTCTGATCAAAAAATAAATCATGACTTTTTATTTATAAGACAAGGCAAATCTTAATATTTTTAAATAGGGAGGAGAACAAGCTCTGAGATATATAAATGCCCAATTTCCTTCATCAAAGCAACAAGCAGAGATTGAATGAAAATTTCAACCATCGTTAACACTATTCTTAGTTTAGAAAGTATTTGTTTGCTGTGTAGCGCCTTTGGTAACCATTCCCTAAATGTTTATATTCCTGTGTCCTATCTTGAAGAAGTTCCTGATGGAAACTGGAAAGCAGAGCATTTACCTCCAGGATTGTGGGGACTAAAGGAATGGTAGGGAAACCTGGAAAGAATCTTACCAGAGAAGCAGTGGGGGCCGGTTAGGGATTGTAAGAGTTTCTGCCCTTTTTCTCTCCTGCTTTAGCCATCTGGCCTTCCTGAAAGAGACACAATATATCAAACAGGAAGGTTAAGAGAGATGGAACAAAATGCAGGATCAATCCTATCTCCTGCTCATGATGTCTGGTTTGGAAGAGACCATTTAATTCTCAGTTCGGTGGAAAAGTGACCTTTGCAGATGAGTGAGTGCTGACAACCAGGCCATTTTTCTCCAGCTTCATAGACCGTGGGATTCTGAAAGCAAGGTTGGCTCATCTGAGGATTCAGAAACTGATCCATACTCCGATTATGGCAGGGGAGGACCCTCATCACCATTTAACCGAGTTGGAAAACGAAGCCGCAGTGCTGGAGGCCTGGAGTTTGTTTAATAAACAACTCTGAGGTATGAGTCCCCCCAAATCCTACCCCCCCGCTTTACCTCCAGGAACGTCTGGATCCTGGCAGGTTGGCTTTCTGGGACGTTTCCATGGGCTTCCTTTCTCATTTTTTTTCCCTCTTTAATTGCAGAGACAAAAGTTGTTATAATCTTTATTAAATCTTCCTTTGTAAACAAATACTTGGGACCACATTTCGCTGCAAGAACCACAGAAATGGTGCTGCAGCCCCGACCGTCGTGGGCTCGGGCGTCACAGAGTTGGTCCCTTGTATATGGGCGCCCCGGAGAAGGGCGCAGGGGCGTGAGAAAGGCTCTTTGTATTCAGAGCGGTCACCGGCAGAGCCGGAGCCTTCCACCGCCAGGTTTTCCTCCGCGCAAAGCGCCGCCGGGAAGCGAATTGGCTCAGACCGTGCGGCGGGCGTGCGGGAGGGGGCGGCTTGAGCCGAGGCGGGCGCGCGAGCTCAGCGGCGGGGATCGCCGCCCGCCGGCCCCGGCTCCCTAGGTGGCTGCCGGCGCCCCCAAAGCCCCGCCCACGGCCCGCCCACCCACCGCCCCTCCCCCCGGGCCCTCCCCGTTCCGCTCCTCCCGCCCAGCCCTCCCCGCCCACCCCACCCGAGCGGCCGCCTCCTCCTGCCTCCACCGTCCGCCTCCTCTCCCCTATGATCTTCTGCTCCCTCCACGGTCCTCCTTACCCCCAGCATCCACGGGCCGCCTCCACCGCCTACGACCCTCCTCCTCCCTTGACGACCCTCCTTCTGCTGATTCTCCCCCCACCGCCCGCCTCGCCGCCCCCAGCGGAGCACACCGGAGGGAGGGACCGGGAGCTGCCTGGCTGCTCGGTGACCCGGGCGCGGGAAGGAGCCCGCTGCAGTCCAGGCCCGCACCCCAGGGCCCCGGCAGCCGCCGACTTCCGAGGAAAGGCAGGACGGTGTTTGGTTTGCTAACGTAGCCGCCTCCCTACCCCCTCTGGAGGCCCAGTCCCAGCTCTCTGCTCCCCACGCCCCCTTCCATTTACTTCGGGTTACCAAGACGGTCCTTCTCCTAGGATTTCTATTGAATAGAAAATACAATTAAAAGTCGCAGCACCACCCCTGCATCCCGCCCCCTAAAGTCCTAGTGATTATTTCTGTCCCTTAGCCCTAGGTTGGGTTAAATACATTCCCCGGGAGCCATCTGGTTTGATTCCCGGCAACCTTCATATGGTTTCCATTAAGCTCGCCAAAAGCATGCATTCAAAAGGCAGCCCTGTAGCCACTCAGAAACCTCCGGAGTTTTGCTCTGGCCAGCCCCGGTAGACGTCTCAGGCAGATGGAGAGAATCTGTTTAGGTTCCGAGTCTAGTACCTCATGATCCTGGTTTCAATCTCTAATATCTTGGCTTTTCCTAGTCCAAGAAAATACAGTTCTCCAAGGTAATGGTTATCATTCATTTATTATTTGATTTTTTACTATATGCAAGGGCTAGCTGATTAGAATTCTGTTTTAATTCTAAAAATGAAGGCTAACAGCTTTACAGATGGGTTGCAAAAGTAACCTGGCCACAGAGGTTAAATTTGACCAGTAGCATTGGTATGGTGGGGTTTACACTTCTCTCCTGTCTACCCCATTCCTTAGCCCCCCAAACGCAAAGAACAAATGTTAGCTTGTGGAAATATATTCCCTCACACGTGGGTTGGGGCTTGTGGTCCAAGAAAAAGGGAACCGGCTGTTCATAGACTCAGTGTTATAACTAGAACGTTCCTTAGGATTCATCCAATATGTATGGCAATTAATTGAGAACATGCGGAAAATGGAGAGGCTACAGGAAGGTCACCTACAGTACTGCCGCCTAATATGGGGATGGGAGGGTGGGGAAGAAACCTGGGCATCAAGTGCTTTATCGTATACAGCAAGGAAGATTGTGTCAAACCAATTCATTAGTGGCACATCCTGGCTCTCCCCAGCCCTTCAGCTGCAGCGCCATCCCTGTCCTGCTCTGTGCCTCCCTGTTTGGGGAGTTAGAGCTCTTTGCTTTTCTTCCTATTTCCCCACTCCCACCCTGACTGTGTGATTTTCATTTGGGTTTTTAAAATGAAACCAGGTGCTGCATAAAACAAAAGCAAAGTAATAACAAGGAAAGACTATCCAATGCCTGAGGAATGTGCTGAGTTTTATGACTCAGGCTGTCCTGGCAAAGAGCTTGGCCTGACAGCAAGAGGTGGGTGGCACGGAGCACAGACCATACATGGCAGCCCTGGCCTCCCCAGATAGGCATGGTCAAGGCAGCCTGTGACTCATTTCACAAAACCAGAGACTCTTGTTCTTTGTGGAACAAGACTTCCCCGAGGCTAGAGCAGGATGATCATCAGCTTTTCTCCTAGAGCCAGTTCAGTCTGATAAAGCAGGGGCCACCCCAGAGTTTGGAGGGGAAGAGAGCCCAGGCACAAGGTCATCCCTGGGAAAGAAACAGGCTTGGTGGACTTGGGCAAGGCCTCTGGTGCAGTCAGGAGATGAATAACAGGGAAGCTGACATGAAAATTAGCATGTATTGTAGTGGAGACAACGGCTTGAGAATTACAGGTGGCGGGACTGCCACAGTGCCTTGGAGAAGGGGACTGTTGGTATGCTCCTAAGCCCAGAGGAGGTGTTTGCTCTTCCTAAGTGCATGGAGCAGAGGAAAAGCTTGTCAGATGCCAGTAGGGTTTCTGAGGTGCCATTCCTCTTGCAATCAGGAAGAGTAACTAAGGGCAAAATTAGTAGACTTTGCATAAACACCCAGAGAGCCACCCAGGCACACATCCTCACATTCTGAGAATTCTTTTCAAATGAGCATAGTAATGGGGTGAGGTGTACATTTTTTCTGTTACTAAGAGACAGCCTGAGAGAGTGAGAATGCAAAGGAGAATGTCTCTCCTAGCAGAGGTGGTGGAGGGGCTGGAATTTGGGTGACAAGGATCTGTTTGTGCCCCCTTTGTTACACAGGCCTGGGTGGAACGGGACTGATAGGGTTCCTTCTGATTTCTGCGATCCCAGAGAAGGCTGTCACGGTTTGAATGGGAATGAACTTTGACTGGCATAAATGAGATCTCCGTGCAGCAGCCCCATGGAACAGGGGCTTGTTTTTCCTTTTCTTATTTCTTTTTTTCTTTTCCTTTCCATGGAATACCCATTGAAAAGCTATGGTGACTATTCCATAATTGCAGGCAAAGCTCTGCTTAACTTTTCCCTCAAAGTCTGCTTACCTGGAAAAATAAAGTCTTTTGAGAACGATGACTTCATAAATATTTATAGTGGGAACAGGCGTCACTCTGGTTCTGTGAGAGAATGGGCTCATTCAGTTTTATTTATGATGTGACACTTGGGTGAGTGACATCCGTCATCTGGGTCGGCCCTACACTCTGTTCCACTGAAGCATGTTTATGGAGTGATTATGCCTGCAAATATTTGCTATATTTAGGTCCTCTCCTCCCCTAACTCCCTCTTAGCCTTCTTAAGTCCCCAAACCAGCAAAAAAGTCAAGCTATGGTCTAGGAAGGTTTGAACCCTAATGACAAGGCACGAGGGCTTGAACATGTGCTGTAGAAGGACTTGATGAATTGGGAGGCAATTAGAGTGGGAACACTGTTATTATGGCATTCAGGAGGTTTTGCTGGTCCTTGTCTAGCAGGTGAGGGCTCTCAGCTGGGCATGAAGGGTTTTGACAGGTGACGAGCACAGCCCTGAGTGATGAATGCAGAGGGATGCTTATGAAACTCTTCCCTTCCCAGGGAGCTTTCTCTGGACAGGATCTCACAGGCCCTGAAATCGTTACCATGTACCCCAGGGCTCTGGGGGCAGGACCTGGTGGGAACTCTGTGACCTCAGCTGGGTCAAGGTCTGTGGTGTAACCCGAGGCCTCCTCTCAGCCACACCTGGTCTGGGGTTGGGCACAGCAGCTGCTCTCCATCAGCTGTGGAGGAGGGAGGATGTTCTCCAGCTTCCTGGCTTTCAGTTGCACATGTCCTGACCTAGGCATTTCAGGCCGGACCTAGACATTCCTCAGGACTCAATATTTGCCTGCAATCGGCTTGGCAATCTATTGTTTATCCTGGGAAGGGCCAGGTCTTGGCACAGTGGCCTGAAGCATTGCCAGTGTTTTATTTTTAGAGACGGGAAAATGTCTGCCTTTTGGCAGCTGCTCTTTTTCTGGCACACATCAGTGATGGTGTAAAAAAGTTCAAGTGAGAGATTCCAAGCCCTAAACTCATGGCCTATGACACAGACAATAGCACCCTAAGCCTCTCAACAGGCACCTTTGGGGAACCTAAGATGTGTCATTAGAAGACCTCCTGGGTAGAGTAGTAGCCTCCCTGCCACACCTTGGAGGCAAGAGTCCTGTCTAGTCCAGAAACCTCAGAGCCTGAACATCTTGTGAGTCCCTTTTGAATGCATCAGCGATCTGAATTATTATAGCTCTTACCTTCATTCATCTCCTTATCTACCAGTCCATAATCTAGTTCAACTTGGTAGGCAGAGTAAAAAAAAAAAAAAAAAATCTGTTAAATTTCACATTCATCAACCCTTCTTAGACCCAGTGACGTCATCATAATGATTGCAGAAGCCAGCCAGTGTCTGTGGCAAGAAATATCTTACTAGACTCAGGGATCACATTTCCAAGTTTTATTGCAATTAATATTTGTCCTAACATAGTGCCCTCTTAAAACATATTTTTCTAGGTCCTGTGATTCTGGCTACTGACAATTTGTTGGAAAGCATTTTGTAAACTTTAGTGACATATTATGCAAAGGTAAAATGGAATGGAAACAAAGATAAAGAATTATCATTACCTCCTTTTCTCCCCAGTCTTTGAAAAAAGATTACTTTCTAATTGCACAAATAAAACATGAATATATTCTCCTTTACTGCTTATAGCGCATGATCACCTTTTGGATTCATTTTTCTTCCTGCTGGAGCACATCCATGGTAGATTTTCTTTTGCTTTTCTTCCCTTCTTCATCAGAGTGGGTAATACATTTGTGTAAGGGCTTGTATGTGTGAGAAATTATTTTGCTCTCTCTGTCTGAGTGTTAGCTTGGCTTGCTATAGAACTCTAAGTTCAAGTTGATTTTTCCTGAGCATTTCTAAGCTATTCCGTTATTTTCTTGAGACTGCTTTGGTTGATGAGCAGTCTCCTTTTGATCTGACTCTCACTCCTTTGAGGTAATCCTCTGTCCTCTTGTACCTTTTAGGATTGTCTTTTTCATCTTGATGCTTCAGAGTTTCATTTTGATATCACTATGTCTGAATTTATTTTTAAAGTTTATCCTGATTGGTAATGATAGGCTCTTTCAATCTGAGTGTTCAGGTTCTAAGATACTAGGTGGAAACCAGAAAGGTTAAATTCATCTGTGTAGCAAAGTGCTGAGGAAGAGAGGAAAGGAATTGTGTGGCCTGAGCACTGGAGGAATTTTAAGGGGTGATAGAGTAAGGCTTGGAGAGATTCTTTGTTGGTTGGTTCCTGCTGGAGCACATCTTTGGTAGAGAAAAATGTGTAAAGAAACTTTTTAAGTTCTTTGGAT